TTTTCTTTCTTTCCTTTCTTTCTTCTTTCTTTTTCTTTCTTTCTTTTTCTCTTTCTTTCTTTCTTTCCCTTTCTTTCTTTCTTTTCTTTCTTTCTTTCTCCTCTCGTGCTTTCTTTCTTTCTTTCTTTCTTTCTCTTTCTCGTGCTTGCTTGTTTCTTTTGTTTGTTTCTTTTTTCTTTGTTTTCTTTTGTTTTTCTTTCTTTCTTTTTTTTCTTTCTTTCTTTCTTTTTTCTTTCTTTTTCTTTCTTTTCTTTGGTTTCTTTCTTTCTTTCCTTTTTTTTCTTTCTTTCTTTCTTTCTTTCTTTCTTTCTTTCAATCGTGCTTTTTCTTTCTTTCTTTCTTTCTTTCTTTCTTTCTTTCTCCTTTCTTTTCTTTCTTTTCTTTCTCTTTCTTTTCTTTCTTTTTCTTTCTTTCTTTCTTTTTCTTTCACAATCTATATAAATGCTTGTCTTTAATCTATCGTCTTTTCTTTGGTTTCTCGTGCTTTCTTTCTTTCTTTTTTCTTTCTTTCCCTTTCTTTCTTTCTTTCTTTTTCTTTCTTTCTTTCTTTCTTTCTTTCTTTCTTTCTTTCTTTCTTTCTTTTTTCTTTCTTTCTTTCTTTCTTTCTTTTTCTTTCTTTCTTTCTTTCTTTTTCTTTCTTTTTTCTTTCTTTCTTTCTTTCTTTCTTTCTTTCTTTCTTTCTTTCTTTTTCCTTTCTTTCTTTCGTGCTTTCTTTCTTTCTTTCTTTCTTTTTCTTTCTTTCTATCTCATCTTTTCGCCTCTTTTTTTCCCTTTCTTTCTTTCTTTCTTTTTTTTTTCTTTCTTTCTTTCTTTCTTTCTTTCTTTCTTTCTTTCTTTCTTTCTTTCTTTCTTTCTTTCTCCTTTCTTTCGTTCTTTCTTTCTTTCTTTCGCCTCTCGTTTCTTTTCTTTCTTTCTTTCTTTTTTCTTTTCTTTCTTTCTTTCTTTCTTTTCTTTCTTTCTTTTCTTTCTTTCTTTCTTTCTCCTCACGTGCTTTCTTTCTTTCTTTCGCCTCTCGTGCTTTCTTTCTTTCTTTCTTTCTTTCTTTCTTTCACAATCTATATAAATGCTTCTCCATAATCTATCGTCTTTTCTTTGGTTTCTCGTGCACTCTTTTCTTTCCCTTTCTTTCTTTCTTTCTTTCTCCTCTCGTGCTTTCTTTCTTTCTTTCTTTCTTTCACAATCTATATAAATGCTTGTCCATAATCTATCGTCTTTTCTTTGGTTTCTAGTGCACTCTTTTCTTTCCCTTTCTTTCTTTCTTTCTTTCTTTCTTTCTTTGCTTGTTTGTTTCTTTCTTTCGTTTTCTGTCCATCTGCGTGTCTATGATCTTTCTTTCTTTCTCTTCTCGTGCATTCATTCTTTCTTTCGCTTTTCGCGCATTCTTTCTTTCTTTCTTTCTTTCTTTCTTTCTTTCTTTCTTTCTTTCTTTTTCGTTCACAGTTTAACTGTCTGTCTGTCCATGATCATTCTTTCTTTCTTTCTTTCTTTCTTTCTTTCTTAGACTATCGGCCAGTTCATGATCTTCATTTCTTTGTTTCCTTCGTTTCATTTCGATCGACGTGAGGGATGATGGCTCTCCGCAATTTCCTGTCATTCATAGCCCTTACTAAAATCTGTCTTTTTGCTAACTCTCCAAATCCCTGTTCTACTATCTATTAGCTCTTTAGGAAGGTTATGCACCGTTTTCCACTGTCCTCTTTATCTTCAGTATGTCTTGTGAGTTTCGAATTTTCCAGGCCTTCTTTCCTCATTATATGCCTTAGAAATTTCACCTGTCATAGATTAACAAAGCATCGTTTGGATGTTACTCTCTTCTGCAGGTGTGACAGATGAAGTTGGAATTTGGAATAGGGGTTTGACATTGCTCTCTCTGGTTCTTTCGTTCTTATCTCCTTTTCCTGGCCTTCAGGACCCTTCCTTGAACAGCATTGTGCCAGTCGTTGCCATCGTTTACTTGCTGTTTCCAGCTATCAGAGTCGATGCCTGTGCATTTCAGGTTCCTCTTGGAAACATCACTGAAACGTAGTGTAAGGAGGCCTAACGGACGGCGTCCCGTTGCCAGCTCACCGTACATGATGTCTTTTGGTATACGACCGTCATTCATTCGATGGACGTGACCCAGCCATCGAAAACGACGATGGCAAAGTTAAAGATGCATGCGACAAGAGGCTTGCTTGTTCCAGCAAAACAGTGTTGGTAACAGTGTTGGTAACTCTATGTGTTGCCGTGAATAGGTCGCAGGCAACGGAGATGGTCGCTTTCCAAGCTGTTTTACTGCCTGACGGTTGTTGTCCAGGATACATGTTGGGAATACATTTAGTCGCCCAAATCAGCTGTTGTCTTGTCCCATATCATTAGTTCTATTCGGCCGTCACTGCTTTTGGCGATGCGTTTGTCAATTTTCATGTCAAACGATAGGTTGTTGGCGATGGTGATTGATAGAGATGCAGAAACATCTTGATCGATGACCATTATTTACATTATTCGGACTAATGTCCTCACCTTTATCGCCATATTTATCACAACGTTTCGGCCTTTGTACGCCCCGGCCTTCTTCAGGTGGCTGGAATTTCGAACTGAACCCTTTATTTCGCTCACTGGGGTAGACTGTTCTAATTCCACGTGCCATGTTTTTAATGGATGTCAGTTATCAGTTATCTCCTGCTAATTTCCCTCTGAAAGTTCCCCACCGCCTTCACTGGATATTGTATTCACACTCTTTTGGGTCCTGTCCCTGGATCTAACTAACGCCTTTATCCACTGTGCCATGTGTCCTTGAAGAACTATAACAGTCTAAACCAGGGAGTTCCATCTATCTTACACGCACTGTGATGAGTCATTGGGAAAGGTCTCCACAAGACTCTCGTTCTCCTGTGGCCTGGTATTTCCCTTTAATTCAGAATTCCTTGAGGAAACATGGCCTAGTTTATAGAGACGTTGGTTAGACCCAGTGACTAGATCCAAAAAGTTTTGAGTTCAATACCACGCCACAGCAGTGGTGAACCCAAAAAACTTGGAGAGTTGAGTTAAAGGGAAATAACTGAGACATCCTGAAGAGGCATGGCATGTGGAACTAGAACAATCTGCCCGGTGGACGAAATAAAGGGCTCGGTTCGAAATTCCGATCACCTGAAGAAGGCCGGGGCGTTCAACGGTCAAAACGTTGTGGATATGGCAATGAAGATGAGGATAACAGTCCGAATAATTTAAACAAGGAATTCTGTTTTGCCAGGTTTAAAGTGCATTATGATAAATAAATAAATAATTAAATGGAAAATTCTGTTATACTTCCATCAGGGGCTGAGGCTATGAAAAATATGGCAATGAAGATGAGGATAACAGTCCGAGTAATGTAAATAATGCAAGAAATCATAATACCTCATCTCAGAGATATAGTTCGAAATTTCAGCCACCTGAAGATGACCGGAGCGTACAACGACGGAAACGTTGTGCATATGGCAACGATGATGAGGATAACAGTCCGAGTAACGTAAGTAATGCAAGTAATCATAATACTTCATCTCAGAGATATAGTTCGAAATTTTACCTGAAGAAGGCCGGAGCGTACAACGGCCGAAACGTTGTGAATATGACAATGAAGATAACAGTCCAAGTAATGTAAGTAATTCAAGTAATCATAATACCTTATCTCAGAGATATAGTTCGAAAGTTGAATCACCTGAAGAAGGCCGGAGCGTACAGCGGCCGAAACGTTGTGAATATGACAATGAAGATAACAGTCCGAGTAATGTAAGTAATTCAAGTAATCATAATACCTTATCTCAGAGATATAGTTCGAAATTTCAATCAACTGAAGAAGGCCGGAGCGTACAACAACTGAAACGTTGTGAATATGGCAATGAAGATGTGGATAACAGTCCGAATAATGTAAATGATGCAAGTAAAAAGGTGTTTCTTTTTCCAGCAACACTTTAAAATAGTGAAGAATATTATATACATTATATGAACATTTCTTTAGTCTTTCAAACAATACATTTATCAGAGCTGCTATTATCTTTTTTGGCATACCCAAGAAATATTTCCTTATTATCATGATTGTGTTCCTAAAATAAATAAAAAAAAAACTCCTGCTAGAATCGAGTAAGTACAGAAACTGCATAATTCAATGGTAGCTTTGTCTTTGAGTAATGTTTAACGAGTCATCTCGTAATGACTTAAATTCTTTCAATTCGCTCTGTACGCCTCTGTTTATGTTCTTGTGCCAAACTAGGCTAAGCTTAGAAAATACCTGTAGGGTATAAACTTTATAATTAGATTTGACGGGGTGACGATCTGCCAGTGACTGGGTGGGAGTTCGATGTACCCTTTTATCCTTACAAAGAATGTATCGATTACAAAAACGTTGCGATTGAAAGCAATAACAATGAAGAAATTGGCCCAAATAAAAGAAGAAAAAAAAGGTGAAGACATAATACTGCAAGGGAGGACAAGAGAAAAAAGGGGGGGGGCAAATAGAAGGAAATTGTTAAAGGAAATGACAGAATGCAGACAGGAAAAAAAAATCACCTTTCAGAAGAAGATTGAGGAAACGGAATGCGAAAAATTGTATGGAAATAAAAATCTCACAAGAATGCCAAAAATTACACCTCGAGTTTGAGACGATCAGTCTAGGATTTTTTTTTTATATTTTATCAAGGTGGTTTCTCCTGATTTTAAAAGATCTTTTTTTAGGATTTGCTTTTTTTTTTTTTTTTTTCAAATTCTTTGTTCTATTTTTTAAAACTTTATTTCATATTTTTGCTATTCTTTTTTTTTCACTTTTATTCACATGGTTTCTTTTTTCTGCTTTTCATTCATATTACTTCTTTAACTTAAATTCTTTCAATTCGCTCTGTACGCATCAGTTTATGTTCTTGTGCCAAACTAGGCTAAGCTTAGAAAATACCTGTAGGGTATAAACTTTATAATTAGATTTGACGGGGTGACGATCTGCCAGTGACTGGGTGGGAGTTCGATGTACCCTTTTATCCTTACAAAGAATGTATCGATTACAAAAACAATTATTCTTAATTTATTCTGCTTTCAATACAATTCTTTCTTTCTTTCTTTCTTTTTTCTTTTCACTCTCGTCTTTTTTCAATCATTTCTTTCTTTCTTTCTTTCGTTTCTCGTGCATTCTTTCTTTCTTTTGTGTCATACATTCATTCATTCTTTCTTTCTTTCTTTCTTTTTTTCTTTTCACTCTCGTCTTTTTTCAATCATTTCTTTCTTTCCTTCCTTCTTTCTTTCTTTTCTCGTGCATTCTTTCTTTCTTTTGTGTCATACATTCATTCTTTCTTTCTTTCTTTCTTTCTTTTTTTTCCCTCTCGTTTTTTTTCAATCATTTCTTTCTTTCTTTCTTTCTTTCTTTCTTTCTTTCTTTCTTTCTTTCTTTCTTTCTTTCGTTTCTCGTGCATTCTTTCTTTCTTTTGTGTCATTCATTCATTCTTTCTTTCTTTCTTTCTTTCTTTCTTTCTTTCTTTCTTTCTTTCTTTCTTCCTTTTCACTCTCGTCTTTTTTCAATCATTTCTTTCTTTCCTTCCTTCATTCTTTCTTTCTTTCTTTTCTCGTGCATTCTTTCTTTCTTTTGTGTCATACATTCTTTCTTTCTTTCTTTCTTTTTTCCCCTCTTGTCTTTTTTCAATCATTTCTTTCTTTCTTTCTTTCTTTTTTCCCCTCTTGTCTTTTTTCAATCATTTCTTTCTTTCTTTCTTTCTTTCTTTCTTTCTTTTCTCGTGCATTCTTTCTTTCTTTTGTGTCATACATTCATTGTTTCTTTCTTTCTTTCTTTCTTTTCTCGTGCATTCTTTCTTTCTTTCTTTCTTTCTTTCTTTCTTTCTTTCTTTCTTTCTTTCTGTCTTTCTTTTCTCGTGCATTCTTTCTTTCTTTTGTGTCATACATTCTTTCTTTCTTTCTTTCTTTTCTCGTGCATTCTTTCTTTTTTCTTTCTTTCTTTCTTTCTTTCTTTCTTTCTTTTTTCTTTCTTTCTTTCTTTCTTTCTTTCTTTCGCTTCTCGTTATTTCTTTCCTTCTTTGTGCATTTTTTCTTTTTTTCTCATGCCTTTGTTTGTTTTTTCTTTCTTTCTTTCTTCTTTCATTTCGTTTCTCGTGCATTCTTTCTTTCTTTTTCTCATACATTTTTCTTTCTTTCTTTCTTTCTTTCTTTCTTTCTTTCTTTCTTTCTTTCGCCTCTCGTGATGCTTTACATTCTTTCTTTTTTCGTGCATGCTTTCTTTCTTCTTCATTTTCTGCTAAATTTTATTACGATTCTACTTTCACCGGATGTATTTCCTCTCCTCTCCTGCCTAGACAGTTAAATTATTTCTTCCACTTCTTTCTCTACCCCCTTTCTCCTTCTCCTTTCCTAATATATCTTCTTTTCTTCTCCATTTTCCTCTTCCCCACTTTTTCTTCAACTATTGTCTTCTTTCTATCCGTTTTCCTCAATCTTCCCGACAACGGCCATTGACTAAAACTCAACACTCATACCAAACAAACCATTCAAGCAAATCCCCTATTTACGAAAGCAACAAACAGAATGAAATTTTACAAGAACCGTTATTTTATTTGCACTATTTAATACCGTTCTTATTTATTTGTCAGGCTGTTTTTTGCTTCTTTTCTTCGTTGTTTGGCCGGGAAGAATTGGACAAGAAACGACTTTCGACTTAGTGTATTCAAATGAGCAAAACTCCGTTGATCTCTAAAAGACATTGCAAGTATTTTCTTTCTTTTTTTGATCGCCTTTCATAGCAGGTCTATTAATTTCTCTCTTTTTTTCATTGCTTCTTTTTGTTTTTCATTTTTAGACCCTATTGCGTTTTCTCATTCGCTTTCGTTTTCCTTTTTCGTTCGCTGCTTATTTATAGGGTTCTTTCTGTTTTTTTTTTAATTTTCTTCTTCACTTTTCTTTACTTTGTTTCACTTATTTAAAAATATATTGATGCTTTCATCTTCGATTACTTTTCATTCTTTCTTTCTGTGTAAATCATTTCTTCTTTGATTTTTGTTTTTTACTTAATTTCTTTGTTTGTTTCTTTTGTCTTCCTTCCTTTTATTTTTACATTTGCTTTTCTTTTTCCAATTTTCTTTCTTTCTTTTCCATTTTGCATTCCTTCCTTTCATTTTTTCTTTTGCTTTTCTTTTCCTGCTTTGTTTCTTTCTTTCTTTACTTCTAATATTTTAGTCATTTTTTTCTTTCTTTCCTTTCATCTTTTTTCTAATACTTCTCTGTCTCTTAATTCTTTCTAATACTTTTCTTCTTTCTTTCTTTCTTTCTTTCTTTCTTTCTTTCTTTCTTTCTTTCTTTCTGCCAACTTTAGTTTCATTTTCAGTTTCGCTATCACCCACACCTCATATTTTTGTCTCTTTTAAATCCGCTTCCCCCTATATTCCATATACACTCAGCCAAATATCTTCTTCTTCTTCTTCTTCTTCTTCTCTCCCTCATACTACTACTCCTTCTCGTCCCATTCCTCCTCCTCCTCCTTCTTCTTCTTCAACGTCTACATTCTTCTTCTTCTTCTTCTTCTCCTCGCCCCACTCCTCTTCTTCCTCCTTCTTCTTAAACGTCTACATTCTTCTTCTTCTTAAACGTCTACATTCTTCTTCTTCTCCTCCTCCTTCTTCTTCTCCTCCTCGTGCCACTCCTCCTCCTCCTTCTTGTCCCACTCCTCCTCCTCCTTCTTGTCCCACTCCATCTCCCCCTCTTCCTCCTCCTCCTCCTCCTCTTCTTCTTCTTCTTCTTCTTCTTCTTCTTCTTCTTCTTCTTCAAACACTGTTTTACTTGACCCACTAGCTCTTTGAATAGGGATTTAAATTTGGAGCGAAAAAGAACGAAAAACAAACAAAAAACAAACAACATTGATTCCGTGACTGACTTACCAAACACTGACACGATTCCTACTGTTTTTTTGGTATGTGTCTCCTCCTCTCCCGGCTTAACAAACACACAAAATAGTCTAAATGTATTCTTCGACAGTTTCATTAATGTTACAAAAACGACCTCACTTGAGGCGACAGAAATTTCTATCAACAACGCCTGTTTACAACTTTTGCATCTTTTACAACGTCTGCATCTACACAGATTATTTGTTAAGGATTGTCTGCTCCAGTTTAAATATGACTAATGCGGATAGGAAGACTATATTGCACCAATTTGTTGTTGCTATACTTCTACTACGTAACCCGTCTCTTCAGACCATCCACAATTTCTTGTCCTTTCTAGCTCTTAACAGATTTTATATTTTTATTATTTCTCCTAAAACCTTTCCCAACATCCATTTACTAATGTTATCTCATCATCATCATCATCATCATCATCAGGTCGAGAATTCTTCACGGATTCTCCTGACTCGTTCCTTCAAACCATCTCCGTCAGACATCGCTGTCGGCGGGTCCTCCAAATGGCATCCAGAGTCATCTACAAGTTGGTCAATGTAGGTGTGATAATGTCTTCCAACAGATCTTTTGCCGGGCAATGGGTTCCATAGGAAGATGTCACTCACAACTTCTTACTTCTCCAGGAGTGACCAGCTAGCCGAAGCGTTCTCTCTCTGAGCGAAACTGAGGTAGGAGGAAGGTGGTCCATACAGGCGATTCTTTGTTGGGAGTTTCTTCCAGCTGATGTCCAATGCAACTCGTAACATCCTTGTGTATGTTCCGTCAAGTAATGCTTCTTGGTGTTTCGCCAGTTGTTGATCCGTAGAGCAAGACAGATTCTACCGTGGCCTTAAAGAAGTCCCTCTTAAGATTGTCAGAGAGGGAGGACTTCCAGATGGTGCTCAGACCATCAAGGACACTCCAGGCCTTGCCTTTGGGGATTTTGATGTCTTTCTCCGTTGACTGGATGTTGCTGACGAGGTAAACAAATTCCTGGACGGATTTGATGTTGTTGCCATGTTTCAATTTAATTTCTCCTTGGTTCTAACTTACTTTTCCAAGAGTGATCAGACAGCCGAAGCGTTCTCTCTCTCTTAGCGAAACTGAGGAGGAATGTGGTCCATACAGGCGTTTCGTTTTTGGGAGTTTCTTCCAGCTGATGTCCAATGCAACTCGTAAAATCCTTGTATATGTTCCGTCAAGTAATGCTTCTTGATGTTTCATCAGTGTCCATGTTGTTGAGCCGTAGAGCAAGACAGATTCTACCGTGGAGAGAGAGAGAGAGCCCCTCTTGAAAGCCCCTCTTAGAGAGAGTTGTCTTTTGTTAAAAATGTGTTGCTGGTAATTTTGTTTTTCTTACAGAAATGTATTGCTGGTAATTTATTTTACCATGTAAATATATTACGGTATTTTTACTATAATATTTTTTATAATTTCATAGTGTTTTGACACCAGTTACGGGTTAACTATTTGCCCATAGGTTAGACCCTAACAGGTACGACCACCACGGGTCAGGGTGGACCTGGGAACACCAGCAATTAAGAGGTGGTTCCACACTCCTCAAAACCTCCTGATCAGAGGGCTTGCTGCCAGATGTAGTTTATCGTCATACCCAGAACGGTCGATTCATGGTATTGGTCTGTTTGGTCTGTTTTGTTTTACGGCATATCAACCTCAATGGGTTATTTAATGCCGACAACTTGTTTTTTTTTTCCTGGTAATATTTTTGTTTTGTCAAAGATTTATTTTTATTAAAAAAATTTTCCTCAAAAATGTATAGCTGGTAATATTATTTTTTCAAAAACATATTGCTGAAAATGTATTGCTGGCAATAGTTTTTTTCTTCAAAAACGTATTGCTGGTAATATTTTATAATGCTTTGTACCTCAGTTTCGGGTTTAGCTATTTGCTCATAGCTGGGATCCTAAGAGATGCTACCACCCCGGGTCAGTGTTTGCCCATAGCTGGGACCCTAACAGGTACGACCACCACGGGTCAGGGTGGACCTGGGAACACCAGCAATTAAGAGGTGGTTCAACGCTCCTCAAAACCTGATCAGAGGCCTTTCTGTTGAACGTAGTTTATCGTCTTACCCAGGACGCGGATGTAGTTTATACTCACATCCGGGACGCGGATGTAGTTTATCATTTTACCCAGGACGGTCGATTCAGGTTATTCCTAGCATTCTTCTGGTGAACCATATTTCTTTTTCTTCAAGCTTCTTCTTCATCTGTGTGGAGATTGTCGCCATATAGGAAGACAGTGTAGTCAATTTTCTTTGTTTCTAAAGAAATTTTCCTGTTTACTAATACTTTGCTTAGATTTTGGAAGGTATTTTTTCACTATCCAAATGCGCCTTCGCATTTCACTGTCAAAATTTCTGCCCATTGTTAAAACACCTCCCAGATATTTAAATTGTTGTACTTGTTTGCTTTTGGTAATCCCCACTTTGTAATTTGCATACTGGACTGCCCATTTTGCTAACATTCCGTCTTTTTGTAATTATTCATTACATAAACAGACGCATCTATATTCTCTCGTTGGTAATCGTGAAAAGGTTTAATTAATATCAAGGAACAATCAAAAAACCAATCGAGAGTAAGATCAAGATAAAAACAAGAAAAAAAAACTTGCTTTCATACTAATTTCCCCTTATTTTTCTTCTATTTTTCTTTTTTGTCTTATGCATCTTCAGAAAGTTAGCGACAATGGCTCTCCACAACTTTCTGGCCTCTGCTGAAACACCTCCCACATATTTAAATAGTTGTACATGTTTGATTTTGGTATCCCCAATTTGTAATTTGCATGCTGGACTGTCCATTTTGCTTCCTCCTTTCTTCTATCTCAGTCTCCTCAATATCTATCTATCTATCTATCTATCTATCTATCTATCTATCTATCTATCTATCTCAGTCTGTTCATTTCTATTATCTATCTATCTATCTATCTATCTATCTATCTCAGCGTATTCATAACCTTTCTTTCTCTCTCTTTTCCTCCCTATCTAAAGATGTTCTCTGTCTGTCTGTCTTCTCTCTCTCTCTCTCTCTCTCTCTCTATATATATATATATATATATATATATATATATATATACTACAGTCCGTTCGTATCCGTCTCTATATCTGTCTGTCTGTCTGTCTGTCTGTCTGTCTGTCTCTCTCTCTCTCTCTCTCTATATATATATATATATATATATATATATATCAGTTTGATCATTATCTATCTATCTATTCATCTATCTATCTATTCCTATATATCTATCTATTCATCTATCTATCTATCTATCATATCTATCTATCTATCGTGGTTGAAAAGTCCGGGGAGGAGACACATCCTTGTTTCATAAATTCATGTTATTCTGCATCGTTTTTATAATAATTTGAAAGAATTTGATAGATATGTTTGAGGATCTAACATAACGGTTTTAATTTCTGAATGACCCTGTTTGGTTCAGTTCGCGTTAATGACCCTGGAAAGGGCGAGAAATTTATCTATCTCCAATTATAGGTTAAATAATAAGGCAGACGGGTCTCTTATGCGCCTTTTGTTCGATGTACTTTTGCTCGTGAACATGGCGTTCTTTCCGTCCTTGTTAAAAGGACTTCCCAGATATTTAAATTGACTTGTTTGATTTTGGTAATCCCCAATTTGTAATTTGCATATTGGTCTGCCCTTTGCCCTACATTCCGTCTTCTTGCAATTGATGATTAGTCTTTTTCTTTCTTTCACTGGCTTCGATGGACAGTTTCCCTTTCTGTATCTAATATCGTTCATAAACTTATCTTCCGTCTGCGTCAACAATAATGAACCATAGGAATTTAATTCTTAAATCGCCTTTTATACGTCCTTGTGTAGCAATTTGAAACAACCACTTTATTTCGCTTTTCGCCATTGGTCCTTTTAGACCCACTGGGGTGAAGATTTTTTTTTCAGAGTAGAATTTCAGTGGTTTTCACCAATTTGTCTGGAGTGATGATGAAATTTGTTTGGCCTTGGTATTGCGTCATCCGGGATGCAGATTTTTGGTGACACTATGTTTATAGTTGTTAACGATGATGGACGTTTCCAACGTAACAGGAAACAGCCAAGCCTTACCAGTGAGAAAATCAAATAATAAAACTGTCCCAATTTGATTTAACCAACGAAATATATATTGAAATAAAATGGACAACGAAGCATGAAATAATTCAGTTATTTCGAAAAAAAAAGTAAAAATAAGATTGAGAATCTGGCATCTTGAGATCGCTCTTTCAAGAAGTTGTTCCTTTTTTTACAAATACTTTAGATTGATTTATAATTAATTGTTTGAAGAAAGTTCTAGGCTCTCGGTCTCACCCCTTTCACTGAGCTAAAAAGCCTCTTTCTTAAAACAATTCTTAGAACAAAGTTTTGCATGTGGAAAATTGAATAATGAATCGAATCAGATGGCTTGACATTTCCTCCCTTGTCTTATGTGTTTGAATAAACTGGTTTGAATCAACCGTCTTCTGGGGTTGCTTTTATTCGTTTTGTTTCAAAAGTTACAGAGAGAAATGGTGTTTGAAAGCTGTAGTGCAGAAATCTTTTTGTCTGTGGGTCAAAGCAAGTTGAGCAAGATCGTGAAGATTATGTTGACAGATTTGTTGAATGTTCCCATTGATCTTACTGTCATTTACGCAATAAAAGTCGACTCCTTGTCTTTTTGCATAGAGAAAGGTAAAAAGTGTGCGTCATTTTTCCGAATGGAGATGGAACTGCAGGATAAATTTTTTAATTTTATCTCGGCTTCATATTTTACAAAGATTTGTTTTTAGGCGTGATTGGTTAAAATTGATACTCGAAACCAATCACTAATCATTTATCTGAACTAAACAGAATGTTTGGGGACAGAATTGATGATTAATAATGACAAATCAATCTTTTGGGTGTAAATGAAGAATATATTTGGCAAAAGAAAGAAAAGAAAAAGAAAAAGAAAAACAAAGAGAATACGCAAAAGTGAATCTGTTTTTTTTCTGGAATGTCCAAAATCTAAAAGGAAATCTGTAATTGGTTAAGTCCAATCATCCTTACAAACAGAAACTCCTACAACGGCGCATAAAATTTTGCCCAGAGTTCGTGTTGTTAAACCCTGACGCATTCGTCTGCGCTCATTCTCGGGTAAAGAAGCGGCTCGATGGACAGATAACTGCGTTCCTCCGTCTGCGTCACAAGATCGACCACAGTCTTTCACCTTTTATAAATCTGTAGCGTCACAATTATATCGTTGGTTGAAAGATTTCTTTTTGGAACGTCGGTTTCAAAATCCAAGGGTAATGGTCAGTTGTGGTGACACTATGTTTATATTAACGATGCTTCCAACGTGTAATCTTCCAATTTGTTAACCAACAAATATATATTCTAAAACCATGAAATCATTAGTTATTCACAAATGGATTAAATGACAGCTGTTCTGATGAGATTTTAATTAATTGTTTGAAGAAAGTTCTCTTTGTGAGATAAAATTAAAACAATTCTTAGAACTTATGTGGAGAATGAATAACACGAATAAACAACTTATGTGTTGTGAAATGTTTGAATATTGAGCTTTCCGGTAGAGAAAATGCCAAGCAGTAGAGAAATTCTGTGTCTGTGTGTTTTCAAATATGAGGTTGGAATGTTATTGAATTGCACTTCATCAGGTAAAAAGGTAGGGGCTCTTTTCTCTCAATTAAAAATACGTGATTGGTTTAAAATTCCAACCAATCACTTTACTGAGCAGTCGTCAAAATCAAAAATCAAGGTAACACGCTAAATGCAATACAAAGGTAGTAGTAAATTAGCCAAAAATATAAATGGTGACACATTTACTCATCATATCTATCTATCTATCTATCTATCTATCTATCTATCTGGATCTAACTGATGAGATTTTTTATCTGTCTATTTGTCTCTCTCAGTCTGTTTCATATCTATCTCAGTCCATTCATATCTATTCATCAAAATTAAAAATATAAAATGGTGACTATCTATCTATCTATCTATCTATCTATCTATCTATCTATCTATCTATCTATCTATCCGTAGAAGTATACAAAAATAGAATAGCCTTTATGCTAGTGATCTCCACCTTTTCCAGAATTTCAACGTTGGTGACAAAGTCCAACCACTGGATTTTGCTTAGGGAACTCTGCTAGAATTACTCAAGCTTTTGCAAGTGAAGACGAGAGGTGACCCACGACTCAGCGCCGTATAAGAGTTATGCATACACTTTTCTTAGTGTTTGTCTTTAGGCCATTGTTATTCAATAAGCGCTCGATTAACCCACCAAAACCGTTGGCTCCCTTCGCCAAATCGATAATGAGCTTATAAATCTCACTATCGATCTCACATGATGGTATGCTGCACCGCAGGTATCCGAAGTGCTGCATTCTCAGATCAGACTCACTGATGGTGATCTATCTATCTATCTATCTATCTATCTGCAATACAAGCAGGGCACTAATGGTCCGCCAGCGGCCCTCTGGTGGCAGCCAACAGCGCCCCAACGTTGGGCCTCTACCAGCCCGTCAGTGGTAACATTGCCAACAGGAAGACGCCGGCGGCCTGACAGCGAACCACCAGCGGTAAACTTTTGTGGCATGGCACCCAGTGACAGGTTGGTGGCTTGCGTATAGGGTATCTATCTATCTATCTATCTATTCATATCTATCTATCTCTGTTTATTGATATCTATCTATCAATCTATCTGTTTATTCATATCTATCTATCTATCTATCTAAGCCGTTTCATATGTATGTATGTATGTATCTATGTCAATCTGTTAATATATATCTCAGTCTGTTAATATCTATCTATCTATCTATCTATCTATCTATCTATCTATCTATCTGTTTCATATGTATGTATGTATCTATCTATTTCAATCTGTTAATATATATCTCAGTCTGTTCATATCTATCTATCTATCTATCTATCTATCTATCTATCTATCTATCTATCTATCTATCTATCTATCTAAGTCGTTTCATATGTATGTATGTATGCATGTATGTATGTATCTATCTATCTATTTCAATCTGTTAATATATATCTCAGTCTGTTCATATCTATCTATCTATCTATCTATCTATCTATCTATCTATCTATCTATCTATCTATCTATCTAAGTCTGTTTATATCTACAAATAATGGTTATGCTGTCGACTCCTATACGCCAGTGAATGCTGGATAATTTCCTCGATGATGAAGAGAAAACTCGCGGCTACATGTCGTCCTATAGACGAATTCTGAGGACATCATGGACGAAGGTTGTGTGAGTAACGACGGATTTTGAAGGGAAATTAAAGCAACCAAAATAAATAAATAAAGGATTTATGCTTAGAATCAGAAAGAAAGAAATTTATGAGACACAGAATGAGGAAAGATGATTAAGAGACTTCGACACTGACGGCTAGAAGAACAGAGAGAATTTTCCAGTAACGAGCTAAGGACTGGGAGAGATAGTAATGCGGTAAACATTAATTAAACGTACTTGAATGTTGTGGAGAGCCATGATCACCTACGGCCTGTTTTTTTTTCATATTTCTAGTTCTAATAGCATTTAAAGAGCATCGTGTATCAGTTGGCGCCTTGGTGCGCGCTTAACATGCAGCCGAAATGTATTGATAAAAAACGCCCGAGGGATTATTAAGATTACAACGATAATCTTGGCTCCATTCGTACGAAAATTGATGGGAAAAAGTTCTCATATAGAGTCAATTGTATCCAATATATAAAACTGGAGACGTTTGTCTTTGAAATGCTCTTCTCATGATTCTCGTTAAATTTTAATTTTGTTTTTTTATTCTGATGAATTTATATCTTCATTTTATGCGTCGTGTCCCTTCAGGACGTAGGCGATCATAACTCTCCACTTTCCTGCTATTTCATATAGCTCGCAATAAGTTTCGTCTCTCTGCCACCTTCCCCAGACCAAGTTCTGTCACCTACTTGCTTAAACCCGCCAGGTATCTCATGCTTTCTTTTCCCTTGTGAGTATCAGATTCTCCAAACCCTACTTTCTCATTACCCGTCCCTGAAATTTCAGCTGCCTCTTCCTGATGTTAAGTATAAGCTCCCCACCTTGTTTGCATCCTCTCCAAAACCTCATCTTTGCTCACACACTTGGTCCATAATATCCTCAGCATCCGTCTGTAGAACCATACCTCGGTTGCCACGAGGCTCGCTTTCATCTTTGAAGAGACCGTCCAACATTTGCCATAGCAGTTAAGTAGACTTTTCTTTGATGCCAAAGAAATCCTCCTGTCTTGTAATATTCTAGCTAGCTTTTGGAATGAGTTTTTGCGTTGCTGCGATGCGAAGATATTTAAACGTATTTTAGTTGACCTGGATAGTTCAGACTCTTTTCTTTTTACCGGATCCTTTTTTAATACTCTGCCTAGCTTTTAAAATTCGTCTTTGGCCATCCTCAACGTCTTGATCTTGCCGTCCCTCTGTCAAACACTTCCAAGATATTTAAATTTCTGCCCTGCTTGATTTTAGTGTCCCTGACCTGTACCTCGTAGTAGTTCAGGACTCTTTTCTTTGTTACCAACGAAATCCTTCTGTCTCGTAATGCTCTGCCTAGCTTTTTGGAATTCGTCTTTGGCCATCCCAATACGTCTTCGGATCTCAGTGTCTCTCTTGCCGTCCTCTGTCAAAACACTTCCCAGATATTTAAATATCCGCCCCTGCTTAATTTTAGTGTCCCCGACCTGTATCTCGTAGTAGTTCAGGACTCTTTTCTTTGTTACCAACGAAATCCTCCTGTCTCGTAATACTCTGCCTAGCTTTTGGAATGCGTCTTTGGCCATCCCAATACGTCTTCGGATCTCAGTGTCTCTCTTGCCGTCCTCTGTCAAAACACTTCCCAGATATTTAAATATCCGCCCCTACTTGATTTTTAGTGTCCCTGACCTGTAACCTGTAGTAGTTCAGGACTCTTTTCTTTGTTACCAACGAAATCCTTCTGTCTCGTAATACTCTGCCTAGCTTTTGGAATTCGTCTTTGGCCATCCCAATACGTCTTCGGATCTCAGTGTCGCTCTTGCCGTCCTCTGTCTAAACACTTCCCAGATATTTAAATTTCCGCCCCTGCTTGATTTTAGTGTCCCCGACCTGTATCTCGTAGTAGTTCAGGACTCTTTTCTTTCTTACCAACGAAATACTCCTGTCTCGTGTCTCTGCCTAGCTTTTGGAATGCGTCATTGACCATCCCAATACGTCTTCGGATCTCAGTGTCTCTCTTGCCGTCCTCTGTCAAAACACTTCCCAGATATTTAAATTTCCGCCCTGCTTGATTTTAGTGTCCCCGACCTGTATCACATAGTAGTTCAGGACTCTTTTTCTTTGTTACCAACGAAATCCTCCTGTCTCGTAATACTCTGCCTAGCTTTTTTGAATTCGTCTTTGGCCATCCCAATACGTCTTCGGATCTCAGTGTCGCTCTTGCCGTCCTCTGTCAAAACACTTCCCAGATATTTAAATTTCCGCCCCTGCTTGATTTTAGTGTCCCCCGACCTGTATCTTGTAGTAGTTCAGGACTCTTTTCTTTGTTATCAACGAAATCCTTCTGTCTCGTAATACTCTGCCTAGCTTTTTGAATTCGTCTTTGGTCATCCCAATACGTCTTCGGATCTCAGTGTCTCTTGCCGTCCTCTGTCATAACACTTCCCAGATATTTAAATTTCCGCCCCCTGCTTGATTTTAGTGTCCCCTGACCTGTATCTCGTAGTAGTTCAGGACTCTTTTCTTTGTTACCAACGAAATCCTTCTGTCTCGTAATACTCTGCCTAGCTTTTTGAATTCGTCTTTGGTCATCCCAATACGTCTTCGGATCTCAGTGTCGCTCTTACCGTCCTCTGTCAAAACATTTCCAAGATATTTAAATTTCCGCCCTGCTTTGATTTTAGTGTCCCCAACCTGTATCTCGTAGTAGTTCAGGACTCTTTTCTTTGTTACCAACGAAATCCTCCTGTCTCGTAATACTCTGCCTAGCTTTTTGAATTCGTCTTTGGCCATCCCAATACGTCTTCGGATCTCAGTGTCGCTCCTCTGCCGTCCTCTGTCAAAACATTTCCCAGATATTTAAATTTCCGCCCTGCTTGATTTTAGTGTCCCTGACCTGTATCTCGTAGTAGTTCAGGACTCTTTTCTTTGTTACCAACGAAATCCTTCTGTCTCGTAATACTCTGCCTAGCTTTTGGAATTCGTCTTTGGCCATCCCAATACGTCTTCGGATCTCAGCGTCGCACTTACCGTCCTCTGTCAAAACATTTCCAAGATATTTAAATTTCCGCCCCTGCTTTATTTTAGTGTCCCCGACCTGTATCTCGTAGTAGTTCAGGACTCTTTTCTTTGTTACCAACGAAATCCTTCTGTCTCGTAATACTCTGCCTAGCCTTTGGAATTCGTCTTTGGCCATCTCAATACGTCTTCGGATCTCAGTGTCGCTTCTTACCGTCCTCTGTCAAAACACTTCCCAGATATTTAAATTTCCGCCCCTGCTTGATTTTAGTGTCCCTGACCTGTATCTCGTAGTAGTTCAGGACTCTTTTCTTTGTTACCAACGAAATCCTTCTGTCTCGTAATACTCTGCCTAGCTTTTTGGAATTCGTCTTTGGCCATCCCAATACGTGTCTTCGGATCTCAGCGTCGCACTTACCGTCCTCTGTCAAAACATTTCCAAGATATTTAAATTTCCGCCCCTGCTTTATTTTAGTGTCCCCTGACCTGTATCCGTAGTAGTTCAGGACTCTTTTTTTCTTACCAACGAAATCCTCCTGTCTCGTAATAATCTGCCTAGCTTTTGAATAGGTCATTGGCCATCCCAATACGTCTTTGGATCTCAGTGTCGCTCTTCGTCCTCTGTCAAAACACTTCCCA